CCCCCCCCACCCCACCCCCGGCTTGTGCCTGCTGACATCAGGCTGCCTCCTAGACCCCCACCAAGGTGGCCCCAGGCTATGTCCACCCAACCCTCAGAGGGCACGGTGACCCCTCCCCCAGGATGACGGTCCCCAGCACTGGCCCAGGTGATGCCCCCATCTCAGCAATGGCCACCCCACCCATCCTGCACCTCTAGGAATACTGAGCCCCCACCAGCCAGGGCCTCTGAGTCACTCTCTGGAATCCTCCTCTCTATCCCACCCCAGCCCCACCTGGTCGCCTCCTCAGGACCTCAGATACACTCCTGTACCCCGACCCCCTCACTGCTTTGCCAGCATCCACCAAGGGCCTCCTGGGCCTGGCACCAGACACCATGAGATGGGGGAGGGGGGAACTGGAGGTGACATTCCTGCAGACTGGGGCAGGGGGTACAGGAGGGATATGAGGTGGCACATGTGGATACAGTCATCCTCATCCAATCACTGAGACCAGAACTCCACCCCCTGGCCGATGTGGCAGCTGCGGAGCCAGGGACCCCAGCACATCTCCACGTGGTGCCGAGCAAGGCCCAGGGGCCCCACCCTGCAGCCTCCCCAGCCACCACCCTGCTCCTGGGCCCCAGCCAGCCATTCAGGACCACTAGCTGGACCAGCCCAGACCTGGGCCACCAGTATGCCCACCGCTTCCTGTCTGGAGTCCCATGGGAAATTTCTTGTCTGACAATACTCAGCTCAGACACCTGCCTTGACCCACCAAGCCATGTCCCCTGCTTCCCCTTTCTCCTGAAAGGGGTATGCCAGCCCCTGCACGAAGCCTTTTACGTGAAGAGCACATTTCATGCAGCCACAGGTCAGGGCGGGCGCAAGGCACTGGCTGGCCGGCCCCAGGCCCCAGGCAGACCAGGAAGAGTGGAGGCTCTGGCAACTGTCCAGGCTGCAAACCAACTCTGAGCAGCCTCAGCAAGGCCTCTTCCCTTCAGGTCTGCCCCCACTGCTGAATGCCTGTGCCAAACCCACTGTCTCTGACTACCTACTCTGTCTCAGGCCTTTGGAGCTTTCTGGACTTTCTTGGGCAGGTGGTCAGAGCTAGGATGTGGCCCACATACCCCCTCACTTGTCTCCCTCATGCTGGGGGGTGTCTCATCCCCCCCGACCATCAAGGCCCATTGACCTCTGCCCCCAACTGCCACCCCGCACCCGGTCCTGTGACTCCAGGAGCCTGAGGCACCAGAGTCTGGGATACCACCTACCAGGCCCCCTGGGTTACCCTGGGACTCGAAGGAAGGAAACTGGAAATCTGGGCCAGGCACCCCAAGGCTCAAGGGCTGGGGGCACAGAGAGGGCCAGGAGCAGGCAGGGCCAGCCAGGGGGCTTTGGGCAGCCTCTTCCTGGCCTCAGTCCCATGTTCTGTGTGATGAGGACAAGTCCTGCCTTGCCAGCCTGGTCCCTACCTTCATAGCAGCTGGACAAGCCTGGACAGCCCCCCTGCCCCTGCTAGGGGCCAGGGCTTCAGAAATGACCTTCCCCAGCACACTTACTTTCAAAACCCTTTAATCTTGCACTTTTTAAAATAAAACTACAAGACTGCAGCTTTCCCATGGTGGCTGTAAGAGAAGAATGTGTGTAGGGTGGGAAGCGCGGGGAGGTGGCGGGACTCTCCTGATGGCAGCTCCAGGTACAGTTCCTGGAGGGGCAACAGGGAGGCGGTTTCCAGCTGTTGCCTGCGCCCTGGGCTGGGGTGTGGGGGGCACACGGCCTTGGTCAGGCAAGCAGTGACCCCACACCCAGGGTCCCTGGCCTCAGTGCCCCAGCTAGAGGACACCCGCTCTGGGAGCCAAATGTATCAGCTAGAGCCTCAGGCTGGGGACCAGCCTCTGCTTTGGCATCATGCTAGGGAGGCAGCCCAGCCTCAGAGAAGGGCAGGGTGTCAGACAGGGACAGCTCTAAGAGGGGTACAGAGGCCTGAGGTGCTGTAGATCCAGAGAGGGCAGGGCCCAGCCCGAGGTCACACAGCATAGCCCTGGTGGGCACAGAGAGGTGAGGTCAGTGAGGGCACCCATGCAGAATCCCGCTCCCTACTGCGTTCTCTCCCCAATTAGGACATCTCCAACAGGAAAAGCCCACTGCCTCTCCAGGAGGCCCTGTGCCATCTGACCCCCTCTCAGCCACAGTCCCAGCTGCCAGCCCTGCCCTCCCGCCTAGCCTGAATGGCAGGGGTGAATGCTTCCAGGGAGTTTGGGTGGCCCTGTCCTCTGCTTGCAGACCCTGGCCAATCCTCCCTCTAAATGTCTGCCTGCCCCATCCCTGGCCCTGGCCTCCGACCTCCCAGACCTCACCTGAACCTAGAGGGAGTGGCCTTGCAAATGCTGCTCTGACCCTTCAGAGGTCCCTGCTGTCCCCAAATCAGGCCCAAGCCCTGGAGCCTGTGCCCAGGACTGCTCTGGCATCACCCCTGCTGCACACCCCCATGACAGCTCAGGCTGTGCTCAGGGTGGCTCACACTGGTCCCTCTGATCCAGGCGCTCTCCTGCCTGGCCTAGCCCCACAGAAGCTTGGCCTCACTGCAGGACCAGGCCAGGGCTCCTGCAGCCTGCACAGCAAGCCACTGCTGCCTGTTCATCCCACCCTGGGGACAGAGTTGGGTCAGGGCACTGATGTCACCCTCACCCCCTGCCTAGCAGAGAGAGTATCAACAGCTGGGGGGCCAAGCAGCTGAGGGGGGCTGGGCTGGTCAGGAGGCCACTCCAGCTTCACATTCTGCTGGTGAGCACCGCCCCCAGGCCGAGGACAGTGGGCAGAGTGGGCAGGATGTGGAGGCAGTGGTCACTGGTCTTTGACGACATCGCTGAGCCCACTCTCAGCACGGAGCAGCTGGCTGCTGGCCTCGTTGTAGGTGATCCAGTGCCGCAGGTCTTCCGGCAGCTCGGGGGGCTCCACCTGTGAGGGGACAGGAGGGTGAGGCGCCTGTGGGGCCACTCCCCACAAGGACACAGGAAGGGGCCATCCAGCCAAATTGATGCCTTCCTACCTCTGGGCCCTGCCCACGCTGTTCCCTCTGCCTGGAATGCTGGTCCCCAGCCCCAGGGACCTTCCAGGAGCTCCTCCTGATGCCCGCCTAGCTGTGCCAGGCACCTCTCAGGCCCCCTGTGCTGGTACTTCGTTTTCTGTAGCTGTCTCCACACCAGGCCAGGCCTGTCTCCCCAGCAATGCCATGCTGGAACATCCTGTGTCCCCCCAGGCACCAGCCTCTGTGGCTGGCAGGTCGGAGAGGGCTGACAAGAGGCCCAGAAGAGCCAGAGGCCTCAGGAAGTCGCAGCAGTGTGCAGGGGCAGAGAGACCATGGGAGCTGCTCTCCCAGGAAAGCACTGGATGGGGGCCTGCTGACAGCCCTGCTCTTCCTCACGTGTACCAACAGGACTGGACCTGACCTCCCAGGTAAGCTCTGGGCCTGACCACTCTCTTCCCAATTGTCCCCACTGCACATGCAGCCACACTCATGTGATGGGAGCAAGATTCTGGGCCAGGCCCGAGGGGAGAGGGGCCTTGCCAACAGGCCCAGGAAGAGGGGAGAGGCCAGGCAAAGGCCCACCCCACCTCAGGGAGAGCGGCCACAGAGGAGCGTAGAGCCAGGGCCTGTGGATGGGGCGGGAGCAAGGCGGGGGAACTGGCCGCTCCCACGGCAAGTCTAGGCACAGGTGGGCCTGGCTCTGCCCTGATGTCCTGCTCAGGCTCTCAGGACCACTCCTTACCTGTGCAATTTCAATGGCCAGACCCAGGGCTTGGCTCTAGACAAGCTCTCCCTCCCAGGCCACAGTGTCCCAGGCCAGCCTCTCAGCATGCAGGACCCCTGGATCCTGCCTCAGCCTGCCCCCAAACACATCTGAAACTTGACCCAGGACCTTCCCCACGCAGTGCATCTGGCTAGAAACACAGGTGACTCCTGGATTCTCCTGGCCCTCTGACCATGCTGGGCATCCTCAGCGTGCGTAGGTCCCACCTCATCAACACTGTCCTAGCTGTGCTGTGGTCCTGGCCCCTCACCTCACGGGGACCTCACCACCAGCCCACACTTGACCACATCACACCCTCCCTCACAGAAAAGCTTCTGGACTCCCCCTCTTCTCCACCTCCAAGCCCCCACTCTCAGCCCATTGGCTTAGCGCCATGGTGGCCGCCCTCTCCTGGTCTCCTGACACATGAAGGGACAGAAGGAGATCCAGGCCCTTGGGAGCTTTCCTGACTCAACAAAGAACGCTGGGGAGCTGTGCCTGTGGCCCGCTGCGCAGGTTGGGGCCGTTGCCATCGCCTCTCTGAGCCTCAGTCTCCCCAGCCCTGATACGTCCCCTCACGACTGTGGTGAAACCCTTCTCTACTCTGGAGGTGCCTATCTGAGGCCAGAGCGCAGCGACCCGCCTGAGGGCACACCCGGGGCGGGGCAGGCCCTGGCTGCCTGCAGGGAGGCTTTAGGAACCTGCCAACGAAGGGGCCTCCTAGCCACCAGCACAGCCCTGGCTGTCCCCAGGGCCCGGTTGCCACGCTGCAGTAGCAAGCTCTGTGCTGGGAGGAGCAGGCCCCGGGGACGGGCCTTGAGCCCCAGGCAGCCTGGCTGTCCTCTCTCTACCTGGAAACTCAGGCTCAGTCCTAACCTCAAACTCAGGTGACCAGGACTCAGAGCCTCAGCTTTAAGCTGTGAAAGGAGGTCCTGGGTACTCAGGAGCTCCCAGGACCCTCCTCCGATTGCCCGGGCCTTCCATCCTATGTTCAGAACCAAGGACCAGTGTGGCCCGGCACTCCAGGCCACACAGCAGCAACAGGACTTCCACTCGTGGGAGAGGCATGGTCTGGCTGCTCTGTTTTGGAAAAGGGGAAGGGACCACACTAAACCCGTCTATAAAGAGTTGATTCAAGGATCCTGGGACCCCCAAGAAGGGCATCAGTGAAGGAGACCCTGGGTCCAGAGTTAAGGGCGGGAGCAGCAGGAGGCGGGACAGGGGCCCTCCAAAGCGGCGAAAGGACTCCCCCAGGGGAGGGGTCCGGGGACCGGGCACGGGGCGGGGGCGGGGCCGCTCACCCTGCGCTTGCACAGGTGCTGCACGACGCGGTCGGGCGAGGTGCCCAGCACGTGCTGCCGGGAGCGCAGCAGCGCGCACACGAAGCCGTCGCGCAGGCTAACGAAGCGCGCCTCCAGGTAGAAGGCGCGGTCGTCCCAGCCCAGCAGGCGGGTGCGCACCTCGAAGGGCTC